CTTGATTCCAGGCTCCGGTGAGGAAAAGAGCAGTTGCTCTTGGTTTGCTGTACACGCCATCGCCGCAAATAATCTAGCAGCTAGCACAAGCTCGCCAAAATGATCTGCTGCGTCCATCGATACTACACACAGCTTTCGAACTCTGCATGGCCGTTGGATGCCGTTGGCGTTGGATTTTGGCGGGATCGTGGCACTGTAAACTCGAGGCGTCCCCTCAAGGGAGGACTCGGAACCCAGGCTCATGCCTCACAAAATCCCTTGCGGGATGGGAGCTTGACGAGCTGTGAGTGAGGTGGCACGGGGTCAATTCCACAGGCAAATTCCAACTCAGATGCTTCTGCAAAGGAACTTGAATACGACTAAGACCAGGAGCCGAAGATATCCGCTGCTCGGCTAGCGGCTAGCATTCTCGTCGTGCGAGTCGTTGCTTGAGCTCTCCACGTCTGATTGCAGCGCTGCAGCCACGTCAGCAAACTCCGGATCAGCCCTGAGAGCAGCTGATGCGTAGCACAGGGCCACGGTCGTCTCCGCAACTGCGGCTCGAACAATCTCACGATTATCTTGAAGGGAGGGGGCAGCGAAGTGGAGGGCAAGCCCGTCCTGACGAACTGCCGCCAAAACAACGGACCTGTCGGCACAGAGTGGCGCCGAAGCTGCTCGCAGAGCGAGTCCGCTTTCGCGGACCGCTGTCAGCACGACTCCTCGGTCTGCTCGCAACTCCTCGGAGGCGAAGGGCAGCGCAGTCCCACAGTTCGACAGCGCGCAAAGGACGACTTCACGGTCTGCCCGGGGGGCTTCGCCCGCGTATCTCAGGGCAGCACCGCTGTGCTGCACAGCAGCCAAGACAACATCCCGGTCGGCCCGCAACTCTTCAGCAACATATCGGAGGGCAAGCCCGTTCTCCGCGACACTGACAAGTGCCACATCCTTGTCAGCTTGCAATGCACCGCCTGCGTACTGTAGTTCGAAGCCATTTCTAGAAACGGCTGCAAGGACAATGTCCCGATCTGCTCGGAAGTCTTCTGGAATTCTGCGCAGCGACCCACCTCGGAACTCAGGCCGTGGAACCACGGCGAAAGACAGCAAAGCAGATCCGTCCGGGCTAACAAGAAGCATACGATCTTCGCTCAGTTCACCACCAGAGGAGACGGCGTGTAGCGCATTTATGCGATCAGGGTCCAAACGGACGAGCACCATAGCTGGAATAGTGATGTCCCACCTGGGCCGGCCCGTAGGAAACAAAACACGACTCAGCCAACCAAGACCAAAACACACTCTCTCTCACAAACGCACACATATATACATATATAAGAACAATAGATATGTGTGTGTGTATCTATAAATGATTATATATATGTATATACATACATACATATATACTTACGCACTGAGTTTCTCCTTCTCAGATTCGGGTGAGTCGCTCCTCCTCTGCCTCCTGCACGATGTGCGCGAGGCTGGCCGCGGCATCACTCAAAGGGAGCAGGCGCTGCTCACGCACGGGGATCTGCAACTCTCTTTGCAGCTTCGTCTTGAGGCTGCTGAGACCTTGAGGAAGTCATAAGGCGAATGTAAAGCTTTGGTTCTGATAGTTACGGCGGTCTGGTAGCGCGCGTTTCACATCACACGACATGCTCCTCTTTGCTGCAGTCTGCGTACAAAAAGCTGCTTCCGAGAAGCTGTCACGACCGTCGACCCGCAGCAAACATAGCTGCTCCCCTGTAAAAGCAGCCAGGATCGGCAGAGTTGCTTCGGCGGTCATGTCCTGTGTTGCGCGTCAAATTCTTGGCAGCTCGAGAATGCAGACACAGTTGGCATGTAGTCTGTGCTGCGAGGTCCTTCCATTCGGCGGCTGTCTGCACCGCTTCGATATGCTAAGCAGGATTCCACCGAAATTCAGTCGTTTGCTTGGCATATCAATTACTGAATGAGCATCCAACTGTTTGCATCAAGCTCCGCAGCCTGGCTTGTGGCTGATAGCTAGCTTGACAGCTACAAGCAGTGAACAGGCAGCAGCCAACTTCCCGCAACTTCGAGCCAGTGCCCACAGAAAAAAAAGCTGCGCATGCTGGCGTCTACGTGCAGCGATCTCCGGAATTGTGAGCAAGACACCACAACAGATGCCAACCGCATGCCTCGTACCCATGCTGCTGCAAGTAGCTTCGCAGGCGCACCTGTCATGTAGCTTTTGTATCTTGAAAAACTCTGCCAGCATCGTGTCTGCACCGCCTTCAGCGCAGGCTGCCTCATGCGACAAGCTATCGAAAGGGTCAACTGATCACTAGAGCCCCCACAGATCGCAGAAACGATTGAGTCAAGATGCAAACCCAAGCCGAAGGAGCCTGCTTCAGAGTACTTGCTCTCCTGAGACGCGGGATTTTGGCTGGTACATCGCAAGCAACGGCCTGTGAGCCGTGAAGTCAAGATCACAAATTCTGGCCTGCAAGCTCTCGAAGAACCTGGGGTCGAAGAGTCATGCTGGGGCCACGCAGTGCAAACGCGCCAGCACGCAAAAACTCAACAACGCACACACACACACAGATATATATATATATATATACATTCGCACGGAAATCGATGCAGATTTATCGTCTGCAGACCTAAGAAGTCGTTGTTGCTCCGATCCGAAGAGTTCGGGACAGCCTGACGACATACTGGCTGGCTCAAGGCCTGGCTCAAGTTTACTGACCACGAAGCCTGACGGCACGCAGGCACTGGCTGTAGCCGAGCTGACTCGAAAATGCGACAGCTTCACCACTTGCACAACGAGTTGAAAAATTGACCCCACCTTGTTAAACTGGGTCAGTCACAGAGCGCTCAATCCCCCCGCTGCGGAAAACTTCACTATGAGCTTTCCACGCACAACCACACACACACACACACACACACACATTCGAGCATGTCTGCCACACGGAGCGCAGAGCTTAACCAGATGCTTCTTGATACTTCTGGGCATCGGGCGTGCTCTTCATACTGTTCCGCCTGTACGGTGGCACAAGACCTAGCAATCCACCAGCATCACAAGCCAAGTTGGTCTTTGCCTACGTTCTCCTACTTTGGCATGGAGCAAGTGCCTAACGCGCAAGACCTCAAACCATGTGCAACAATGCCCAGGTGCGGCAGGATAAGTAGTGCCGGAGTGGCCCCTTGCAAAGAGCTTGCGGCACACCTGAAACGGTTCAATCTAATCTAATCCCTACCAGAAGACACGTCCGGCAACGTCGCCCCAGTCCCAGAGGACTCTGGAACGTGCGCTATGCTCGATCTGGGAGACGAGCCTTGAGTGCGAGCTCGTTCTGAACCAATTTCTTGTTGGCCGCAACATGCCTGGCTTCAGGTCCCACGGCCCAAACAGCAGCTCAAGAACCCCACTTGCAAGCTGGCGGCGACTCGAAGAATCTTTGGCCTCGAACCTGTGAGAGCAACACAGAGCAACGCCAAGGACTTCGGTTTGCGCTCTCTGGCACCTGGAAGTTCAGGCTCGCCCGAAACATCACAGCATGGTCTGGGCCCTGCTGTTCTATCTGCATATCGGTGGGCTGGCGCCTTGACAACTGCAAGTGGCCGAGGACGGCACAAAGCCAACAGCCATCGAGCCTGCTTCCTTTGCGGTCAAGCTGCCATCGTCGCAGGTTCTCGTTCAAGTGCGAGCGGGCAATCTCAATGGTGAAGTTGCCGGCCCCGTCGTCTGCCGTCTGCATACTCGACCTGCCCGACAGGTTCTACACCGTTTGCGCGCGCGCGCGGACGGAAGCGAAATAAACGCTCGGCTGCCTTGCCGACGGAGGCACAGGCGCAGGCGTCGCTGGTTTCTGGGCGCTCAGCTTGGGCTTGGGAGCCTTGATCTGAAGAGTCTCCGCGGTCCAAATGCTTCCCATTACTCAGAAGTGCTTAGGTCGCAACTGGTTGGCGCAAGGTGCTGGGCACTGGCCCGGCAGCAGCGTGGCGCTGCAAGGATGGCACCTCTCAGCAATGTCAGACCTTGACCTGTCTGCCTTGACACGATCGCCCGATAGTCCGACCGGCACTCCGCTTCCGACATGCCCGGCGCCTTGTGTGCCAGGCTTTGCTGGCTAACCGCAGCTGTTTGTGGCAAAGCTCCTCCCGAAACCTTGCGCTTCTTGCCCGAAGGCTCGGCCCTTAGTCTGCCCAGAACCAAAGCTTCTTGAGACAAGGATTGCAGACTTTGCGCAGAGTGCGGCCGAGAGTCATTGCTTGGAGCAGGCCGGATCTCTGCAGGAATTGGAACATGTCCTGCATTGCCAACCTTGCCCACACAGCGGCAAATGAACACGATCGGCGGAAGCCATGCATGCCCGTTCCAAGCTTGATGTTAGCGAGCAGACCCTCGAGCAGAGACACGACTCTCAGTTCAGCATCCGAGGCGACTGCGCCTGGGCGCCTTTCTTGCCTGAGACGACACGAACTCTTCGGCAAGTTGTTAGGCTCTGGGTGAAAACATGCAACAGAGTTGCTGGAAGCAGCAGCAATGGACACCCTCTGCACTCCTTTCGGGATTGAGAGCCGGCAATGCCCGGACAGAGCTCTCAGGCAGTCCTGGGATGGTAAGGGTACCTTACTGTGCAAGCATCAGTTGCTCGAGAACACAACCTTCTTGCAGGCTCTGTGCAAACTAGTAGCATTGGAATCCGTCCGGTGATGGTTGAATTGACACCTCTGAGGACGAAACAAACGACTGCAAAAAGTGATGGCCCCCAACACAGCAAAAGAGATGTTTGCCTCGCCTGAAATGGTGTTCCATTCCTGAATGCGAGGAACAAGGCTCCCGGCCAGCATGGTGGCAGCCGCATTGAACCAATTCTCGTAATGCCAGGCCAAGGCACTTCTGACAGTATGTATTCACTGTGGAAGCTTCCGCCATGAACCGCGAGTACAACTAAAGCTCTGGTTGAGCCAACATCTACATTTGCAAACTGCACCAAGCATACTGCAACAGCATGTCCTTGCCACTCGTTCTGCAGGCAGGTTCTGAGCAAGGCCACTTGCCACCTTCGCCTCCTCGCTGTCGAAAATACCTTGGTCTGCTCTGCAGAGCAAATGAAGTGTGATTCTTTGTTATACCAAGCCAAGAAATGCCGGGAACTTGCCTGCCACTGTCTGATGGCAGGACCGAGCATGGGCTAAGCATCGGTGCCGGCCGAGGGATGCGTTGAAGAAGAGCCAAGGCTGGTGCTTGCCTTAATAGCGCAAATCTTCTTCTGAAAGCCCTCAAACAGCGAGTACCCATAATCGTGCAGCTGAGGAATCTGCCCTCCTGGTTCTGGCGCTCGTGCATGTACCAAACCTCTCAGGCTCAAGAGCTGGTTGTAGCTTCCCGGGCTTAGAAGCTTGGCTCCGGACGCCAGGCAGCTGCGGGATGGGTGTTCCCATCTGCGTCTTCACCCAGTTTGGACCTTGCAACATATCGAAGTCACACACAGCCGATATTTGGCAGGACGACGCTGAGCGCCCTTCCAACTGGCGGAAAAGCTTCATCCCTCGGTATTGTACCCGGTGGGCCACATGTTGTGTGGATTGAAGCAAGACGGGAAATACTAGAGTTTGTTGAACAAACACCAAAAGATTAAGCGAGCTGCAGCTTTTTTTTGCTCTGAGATCAGTCATCCATATGCATTAACCAAACCATGCAACCGCCAAGTCTAGCAGATACCTGGCGTCGCGATGCTTGCCTTCAGGCAGGCTTGAAGAAATCATGTTCATTTTGCGGGTCTGAACATGACATTTGTCATTGTCAACGCGCCATAGTCAATAACCATACTTAGCAAGTTGCGCTCACTTGTGGTCTTCTTGTGTCAGAAGCTGCCACATCTCAGGCTGCTTCAGCAGATCGGTCTCCAGCCGCTGCACGCGGACGGCCAGTGCCTGAAAACAGCAGGGTGAAGGAGTGACATCTTAACTAACATTCGACGGCCTCGCGCCTCAAGCATCATCAACATCATGGCCACTGAACACAGTTCGTCGTCCAGAAGCGATGGTGCAGCTTGCTCTCGCGCCAGCCTCTTGCGAACGTCGCTCAGAATCTCGGGTGCTGCCTTGACACGAATCCTGTTGGACGCCACCAGCTGCTGCTGCAAGTCCATCGTGACCGGGCTGATGTCACCGGCAAAGTCCTGCCTCATGAGATTCATAGTGAGGTCGAAGGCCTCGTGTGCTCTCTGCTTCAGTGCCTCCAACTCGTGGACGAAGTAGTGCGACGATAGAAGCACGTGCCCCGCTTTACGAATCACAACCTGTTGTCGGCTGGACTGCGTCGCAGTGCAACCCAGGATTGTGAGACACTGCCATGCTTCCCCGCAGAATTGCATCACGTTTCCCCAAAGTTCCGCCCGCCACGGCACACGTCTGAGGCGAGGCTCACGGCCAGCCTCCAGGCCATTGGCCCGAGCTGAGCTCAGAAGAGCCAGACCCTGAGCCCGGAAGCCCTGCACGTTCCCCACGTTCCCTGGCGTAAAGCAAGAGATTGCGTCATGGAACACCCCAATGAAGGCTTCTAGGTCTGCTGTTGCGCGGACACTTAGGGACGCGTCCGTGGCTACATCCATTAACGAGGCAATGCCAATGGCCAGCAGCTGGCTCAGAAGATTGACGTAGTTCGTCAGGCTGTCGTGCGTGATGTCGCCACACTTAGCCAAGGCGTGTTCAGCAAAGAAGCAGGCCACGAGCAATCCAACATAGCTGAAGTTCGGAGAGCCGAAGTAAAGGTAGAACGATGCGAACTCGACTATCACGTATACCGGCAAGAAGAGTTGCGAAATGAAGGTTGTCTGGAAGAAGTTGCCAAAAGCGCAGGAGCTACCCAAAGTGAGCTGGCCCAGCATCGTTCCAAGGCCGACCCCCAGAAACCTGTCCGTGTTCTTCTTTAGAGCCGCAGCCTCGTTCCCACCCTGGAAAATAAGGTAGGCAACAGTTCCAGCTGGCGTGGCGTTGTAGTTTGGCACGAACTTTTGCGCTGAGCCAAGTCCAAACCTTCCGAGCACAAAGCACAACACGAACGTGATGAAGATCTTCCAAGTCTCTCGGTGGTATGCTTCAGACTTCAAGTTCTTCAAGGTCGGTGGCAAAGCCATCACTCCGTGAATGCACGTGCAGAACAGGCTGGTAGTTGGAGGCAGATCATCTTCCAGCAAGAACCGGGTGTGGTCGGCGATAGCTTGGCTGTAGCCACTCATGCTGCCAGCCAGCGCCAGCTCGGGAAGATGGTCTGTCTTAAAGGTCTCCAACAAAGGAGATGTAGAGATGTGCATCTTGAATCGCTGGGCAAGACGAGCTTGTGCTTGATCAAGGGCCTCCAAGGAGGTGCGCACGGTCTCATCGTCATCATGGCGGCCACTCACCGCAACCGTTGCGGACAAATGCAGGCACAGCTTTGATGCCCTCACGAGCTCTTCAAGTTCTGGCACGATCGCATCAAATATGTGCTGGCTGACTGAAACAGCTTCGGAATGCTGCACACTCATGATGACGGCTTCCAGCCAATCATTTAGGATGTCAAAAGCATCGCAGAGCTGCACCAGCATCGAGCTTGATCGCCCTGCCCTGCCCCAGCCGAAGCACTCCCACCAGCTATTCTGCAGCGAGGCCTTGGCTTTCATAATCTGCTGATGCAGGGCACGCACTTCCGCAGCAAAGACGACGGAGGTCTGCGAATCCATGTTCACACCCCTGAGGTTCACGAGCTGCTCAATCAATCGGCCTTGAGACCAGGCCACCTCCAGGACGACGTCTTGCGCCAGCTTGAGGGAAGAGATGCAGGTTGGCAAGATGGAAGCCAAGACTGCAAAAACACATCCCCAGACAGTGCCCATCAAGGCTCCCGTCTCCGCACCCTTCAGAAGTACATCCGCAGGGCCCCTGCTGAATAAAGTTGTGTCATCCGGGTTGATGAAACACATGGTGAAGTAGGCTTGCCAGGACAAGGCGAACATCTTAGCATTAGTTGCAAAGTTGAAGCTCACGGTGATTAGCACGACACAGAAGAAGTTCAGATAGCCGAAGATGTATGCCCACGAGGGATCCCACTGGTCGTTATCGACTTTCACCCCTGATGGAAACATCCCGTACATAAACCAGCAGTTAACCACCGGCAGCAGCGTGCCGTAGAAACCGGTCCATGCCAGGTAGTTTGTGGTTCCTAAGTCCAGGTAGAAGGAGAAAGCGACGATCACCACCACGTAGCTCATCTCCCAACCCTGCTCCTGCCACCAGGAGAGCCACTCGAAGAAGTAGGTCGCTGCGCAGAAGAGCGTAACCACCGAGCATCGCAGTGCAAGGTCGGCATTAAAGGCGAAATTTCCTCCGTAGAAGTCTGCATTGAAAAGCACCCTCTGCACAAAGCCGGGGTTGGCAGCGGGCTTTTCCAGCAGGGGATCCAAAAGTTCCGAATGAGATGCGCTCTCACTGTCACTTCCGCTGCCATCGTCGACTCTCCGAAGGCCTCGTCTCCTCGTCTGGAGCTCGACTGCCGCAAAGGATGCAAAGAAGCTCACCAAACATGCTGCAACGCAGCTGGCCAGTACAATCCAGAAGTCACGAGAAGCACCTAGGAAGAAACCCGCTTCTTCCAGTTTCGATGTCGCATTAGACCTGCTGAGTCGGCCAAGGCCGCCGTGCAAGGAATTGGTGTCCGGCATGGCCACAGGGCAGACGCAACTTCTTTGGCTGTCGGGCTTTGGGCCATGCTGTCACGAGAAGCAGCTCGATGTTCCGGGCTTTCGGATTCCCTGGCTTCACCCATCTAGAATCTAGCACAAGAAGAGCACGCAATGCCATGGCAGCAGCATCGGCAAAAAATCTAGCTGCACCCTTCATTTTCCAGCACGACTTGATCTTCGAAAGCTTCAAGCCTCCGTTCTTGCCATGAATGCAGAGCTTGCTGAGAATGTCCCTCTTTCGGGCTCAGTTCTCTAAGAACCTCCACGAGATCAGAAGGGAGTAAGTGCCAGGCGCTGCGCCCCGCCCCGGCCGCGTCCAGAAAAGACAAATGATATCGGTGCAGAAAATTCCGCGTGCAGAACTGTGCATTCTCCAGGACGGTTACTCTTGCGGCATACTTGCCGTCATGAACCGTAGGATGCCCAACCCAGGCCATGTGGCTTCGAATTTGATGCTTCCGGCCTGTTAAGATCTGTACGGCTGCCAGGCTCATCGCCCTTCGCAGGCGTCTAGCATGTGCCACGACCTTCAAGCGTGTGATACACGGCTTGCCCGAATGTCCTGAGGACACTGTCTCGCCGGAACGAAGACGAGCAGAGACACATCGCAAGCTGGTCGGAACAAAGCCCTGGCAAAGAACGACATATTCCCGCAAGAGGGAACCGCTCACCAATTGCATCTGCAACTCATACCATGCTTGATAAGTCGTAGCGGCCAAGACCAATCCAGAGCTAGGGACATCCAAGCGGTGAAGGAACCCGCATCCATGCCGTCTGTCGTCCAGTATTGGAATCTTGCCACGATCCAAACTACGGAGAAAGTCGGTCATCTGGAGTTCGACCATACCATCATAGACCTCCCATCCAGGCGGCTTGAACAGGACCAAAGTGTCGCCCATGTCAAGAATGAGAGAAGGATCCGTCCTGGCTTTGACGAACACCTCCCTGGCTCCCTGTCGCCTTTTTGAAGTCGAAGTCCCCATCTCGCGGTCTAAGCACGCAGAACCCTCGCGGATCGCATGTCTGCAGACATCCAGCAGCGGCGCTCCAAGCAACCCTGCAAAGTTCCAAGCCCAAAGCATGCCGAGGACGCTCTCTGCGAAAGGAATCCAACGATAGCGTTCCCTGACGTCTCGCTGCGTTATTCGGTGAGCTGCTTCCTGTTGTATTTGTAGGCAAGCAGATGCAGAGGGAAGCTCTATGAAGCCCCAAGACAGTAGCAGCAGGTCATCCAGACTGCAGCGGTGCAGGGTGACGAGCTGGTTGTAAAAGACTTCCAGCGAAGCTCCGGGGACTCCCAGGAGTGAGAAGGCCCAGACCAAGGTAGACAAAGCTCGCGTCGAGGCGGCCGAGAGACCACCTGGAGCAAGCGGACAGCCTTGTCATACGACCTCAAAAAACACCTAACGGGCACATCTTCAGGTGGCTCTGCGACCAAGTTGCGAACAGTTTGTATGAAACACGCTTGCATAAGCAGTGGGTCAGCAATTTGAAGCCTAGCCGGGACAGGGAAGCACAGCGATGCATGCGACTGTCACAGCATGAAGCAGCTGAAGCCGAGAAAGCCGGTTGCTTCTGCACTTCAGGAGCCTGGCAAGTGCCCATGGGAGCGATGAGATGGATCGGGATAACTCACCACTCTCGGCCAGCAGGACGAGGTCCCAGGCTTGCTGCCGTCGCCCAGCGCTTCCGCATGCATCAATGGCCGCATTGAAGCCTAAGGCTGACAGAGGTACTACACCAGGTACTACATACTGACCGTCACAAACCCTCTTAAATCCTCTCGACCTGAAGCGTTCAGCAATGCCTGCATCACACACAGATGGGCACTGCAACAGGCAGCAAAGGCACAAGCGTCGTCGGGTTTCAGACGAGCTTTTGACATCTCGAGCAGCAGATCCAAAGTCAGCTTCCATTGACCACCTTTTCCGCATGCACTGATGGCGGCTGTGCAGCCAATGACGTCCGCAGCACAGCGCTCGTTTCGCAACACCTCCACAGCAAACTGCCATTTCTCCGACCTGTCGCAAGCGTTAATGACACTGTTCCACGTAGTCGTGTCGGGAGCAACGCGCCATCCAAGCAAGCCTTGGGCCACGGTTGCAATGTTCATGACTATCCACCCACACACTGCGTCGGCCGATTTAGTTCACTGTATGCAAAACGGGATGCTGGTCACCAAGCTTGTTGCCACATACCAGTCTCCAAGCAAGCAGGTGCTCAGCAAAGTATTTATGGCAACACAATTGGGACAAACCTTGCGTTTGCATCACTTCTTGCTGAGACTTTGCATGGATCTGTAGTTCGGCATGCTGCGGCGAACAAATAAGCCGTGCACTGCTGCCTCCAGCGATCTGGCAAGCAAGACGGTTGCTAAAGTCCACTTGCCGTTACCTTCGCCTCGGTTGAATGTCGCGATCGGCCATCAAGGCAGGCTTTCGTCACCAAGTGCTGCGAAGAAGCACCCCTGCATCGCGGCGCTGTAGCTCACAACATCCCGCTGAAGGAGTTTGATAGCCTGAAGTTTCCACACATGCCTTGTGCCTTGCCATGGGCTGACAGGCTTGGGCGCGCGACCATGTAATCCAGCAGGTTTGTGGCCAAAAACCATCTCCCGCGGCTTGAACAGGAGCTGATCATGGTGTTGAAGGCTATGTTATCAAGGTCGGGGCGCCTGCGGGAAGCCCGGCCATTGTCTGGCAGCACACACCGCTAAGTACAGCACCCAGACTGACAATCACACCATGCAGCAGAGGTTCGAAACGAGGCCATTGATGCACATTCGCCAATGCATCCGCAGAGAATCAAGGCCCGCATTGAAACTGCAACGGTCTGGAGAGTTCCTGCACTCGAGCTGTCGCTCATTCAAAGTAAGAAAGCCTTTATGAGAGCGGTTGGTTTCCACGCAAGGCCTGCAGATCTGCATCGTGTGGAGCAAAGTCCAGGCATGTTCCCACGGATCACAGGCGCGGATGGCTGCATTTTGGCCCATGGTGCCCTCAGCAAAAAAAAGCTGTATTGGAAGATAGCATTCAGAAAAGCAAAAGTACAAACCAAGCTCATGCACACCATGCCACTACCGGCGCGCTGCTACCGTCGTGCTGCTGGGTGGCAAGTCGCAGGCCAGCTCGGGATGCGAAGACCCTTGCAGGGGCTGCGCCGCAGAGTTTATTGAGTTTACTCCAGCCGATCTCTAAAGGCCACAATAAATCCGAGATACAGAAACTGAAAGCTGAGCTGCCATGGGCAACCTTTCCTTAGGCGACCATTATTGTGAAGGAGGCCGTGCTTAAGCGTGCAGGACAGAACCAGTGTGCGCAGGCCGGCTACCTAGTGCCAAGTGTCTGGCCGGCATTCAACAACGCACTGCAACCTTGTGCGTTCGGTCGGATCCCAGCTGACATCATATCCCCTCAGTATTTCGACAGAGCGACCAAATTGCAACCAGCTTCGTCTACGATTTCGCGAGGCCTTCTTCAGTGTAGTGACAGCGCAGCCGCCGCTCTTCCAGCTGAGCGGCGAAACAGAGCTACAGCCTTTGGCCACTGGCTTGCCTTCTCTAAGACATTGATGGCCGCGCTGTAGCCTCTACATTGCAAAGGAATGAAGGGCCGAAGCAATCAATGGCAGGCTCTGGCAGGTTTACGCTTCCGTTTTATCGAAAATTGTAGTCAGAAGGCTCACTGTGTCTCTTCTTGTGGCCATTCGCGACATGCCCAACAGCCAGTCCAATGCCAACCTCCAGTCATCAACCGAGCATTTGCCAATGATTGCATTCGCGTGATACCTTGCAAGGGCCGCTGGCATGTACTGTACAGACCCACGCAAACCCACACACACTCTTACATTGTTACATACACACACACCACACCCACAGAAACGAACGATGCAGGCTCGCACA